TTGGACTATTTTAAAGTTTAGTGCATCTTTTGGCTATGTTATTATTAATTTGTTCTCTTATGTTTTTAATATTTTCTAGATTATATACATAATAGAGTGTTTTTTATGCTGTGTTGGCTGCAGTTATCCAGTCAGATAGAAGGTTAAGATCTTGGAACAGTGCAGGTATATTGAGATGATGAAAAGAATTAAGTTGATCAATATTTTGATTGTGAAATATAGGCACAGAGGTATGATTGTAAGATGCTGCTTTAACTTGTCTTATGATGTTGTCAAGTTTTTTGAGTCCTGAATATAGTTTGGATGCATTGAAGAAAAAGATGTGTTGAAAGTTCCAGACAGTAAATTTTTTGTTTGGGATATGTTGAAGAGAAGCTGAAATAATACTAGTTTGAATTTTGTATCAAGTAGTCTCAAGTGATTCTGTAGTATTAGTTGTAGAAGGAACATTGTTGTTATGAAGATTAGATATAACTTAGTCAGTAAAGTTTTGCCAAAGGTCTTGGTTTATTTGTTTATAAGCAAATATTCTACGCTTAGTTTTGGTTACTGATCATCATTTCCTGGTAATAGCATAAGAAAATTTTCAGGATGATATTAGTATATTATGGTCACTAGGTGTACACTGGTTAGCATCATCTGTATAGTAAGAGGTTAAGTATCAGATAATAGAATGGTTAGTCTAAATATAGTTAATACGACTGCTATATCTGCTATTATGTCATGTAGAGATTAGAGATTGTGTATGTTTTGCTAAATCATACATGTTATTGTGTTAAAGGAAATAAATAAGTTTAAGTTTGATAGAAGATGATTGTAAATTGTCAAAGACATTGAAGTCACCCATGACAATTGGTTGTATATTGTTTGTATTTGCTTCTTGAATCCATTGTATAATATTGTTTTGGATAAGAAATCTAAGTTAAAGGTTATCATATGATAGATAAACTGATATAATATGAAATTTAAAGTTATGTTTAAAAAAGAGATCAATTGCAATAGCATAACCAGGAAAGTTAAGTGTTTTATGAACATGTAGTTTGAAATGTTTTTGGATCATAATTGCTATTCCAACTTTACAATTATCAGTATATAACCAATAATAAGTAAAGTCTTAGGATCTAGGAAATTTAGCATGTACATTGTTCTGTGAGATTTTAGTTTCTGTAATGCTAGCAATCTTGATGTTATGAGATATACAATAATCTTCTCATGTTTGTTGTTTTAGGTTATCATTATATTCTTATGTATTATATAAACTCTTTTATTATAAAAAGCTATCTTTAATATAATAATAAACTTTAAACAGTTAAGCATTTTGTACTTAAATGCAAAGTTAATAAAGAAATCTAAAAACAAATCTATAGACTTCTAAAAACTAATTAAACTAAAACTCTTTCAACTTCTATAGAAGAAATTTATATAGTAGCAAATATTATAAATAATGAAAGCAAACAAGTTACTCTTTGGTTGCATACAAATATAATATATAAAATATAATGCACTTACATCTTTTTCAAATAAGAAGACAGCAATCTCTTAAGCAAAATTCTATTTTACTAGTAATCAAATGTTTTTATAAAAACATACATACTTTGTACTACAATCTAAAAAATTGTTTTCAAAAAACAAAAAATATATATAAATGTATCAGACATATGATTTGTTATATAGATCATAAGGTAAATTTTTTTAATATAAGGTTAAATAATTGATGCATCCAAATTTTATAAATAAAATTTGTACCAAATTTGCTTTCTAGAATTATTTAATCAAAAAGAAGCTGTCAGTTTAATTTCTAAATATAAGTTCATAAATTCTTCAACATTATAAGGTTCATTCTGTAAAATTTCAAGGGTGGTTAAAAATAAATCTTTAAATAATCTAGTTTATGAAGTTGGCTAATATTTTTACAATTTTTACTATTTGTTTATAAGTGATGCAGGTAATGTACATCAATTATTCCAAAATAAGTAATATAAAAACATCAATTAAAAAAATTTAGTAGATGTTTCTATATTACTTATTTTGGAATAATTGATATACATCACCTGTATCATTTATAAATAAATAATAAAAATTGTAAAAATATTAGCCAACTTTATAAACTAAATTATTTAAAGATTTATTTTTAACTATTCTTGAAATTTTACAGGATGAATTTTATAATGTTGAAGAATTTATGAACTTATATCTGAAAATTAAACTGACAGCTTCTTTTGGTTAAATAATTCTAGAAAGTAAATTTAATACAAATTTTATTTATAAAATTTGGATGCGTCAATCATTTGACCTTATATTACATGTAACAAATCATGTGTTTGATATACAATATTCTTAACAAACATACGATTTGTCATATGTAAAATTTTTTAATAATAGATTAAATAATTGATGCATTCAAATTTTATAAGTAAAATTTGTACCAAAATTGCTTTTTAGGATTATTTAACCAAAAAGAAACTGTCAGTTTAATTTCCAGATATAAGTTCATAAATTCTCCAACATTATAAGGTTCATTTTGTAAAATTTTAAGAATGGTTAAAAATAAATCTTTAAATAATCTAGTCTACAAAATTGACTAATATTTTTACAATTTTTATCATTTGTTTATGGATATCCTTATGTTCAGAAAATTCTGAACTGCTGGCCAAAGAAATATGAATCGTAGTATCTTAAAAATTCACTATATATCTAACATTAACAATTCCAACTTATAAGTAAAATTTCATTCTGAAAACTTTTACTTAAAAGTCAAAAGTTAGTTATCATAGTAAATTTTTGTGTTATTTACGTTTTTTACAATTTCTTATGTTTTTCGCGTTTGTTTTGTTACACAAGATTCTGTGATTTTATTGGATCCGGATAGGGTCGGAAGTGATCTTCAGCCCGGGATTTTCTGGACATAAGGGTACCCTTTGTTTATAAGTAATGCAGGTGATGTACATCAATTATTCCAAAATAAGTAATATAGAAACGTCAATTAAAAAAATTTAGTAGACGTTTCCATATTACTTATTTTGGAATAATTGATGTACATCACCTGCATCACTTATAAACAAACGGTAAAAATTGTAAAAATATTGGCCAACTTCGTAGACTAGATTATTTAAAGATATATTTTTAACCACCCTTGAAATTTCACAGGATGAACCTTATAATGTTGGAGAATTTATGAACTTATACCCGGAAATTAAACTGACAGCTTCTTTTTGGTTAAATAATCCTAGAAAGAAAATTTGGTACAAATTTTACTTATAAAATTTGGATGCGTCAATCATTTGACCTTATATTAAAAAAATTTACCTCATGATCTGTGTGACAAATCATGTGTCTGTTAATAATTTGCTTTTAATAAAAGAGCGTCACACGCGCCCCTAGGTGCTAACACCAGGGATAATAAAAAAATATATATATCCACATGGTCAATACTTAAATTATGACAGGGGATGGTTTGGCCAGTCGTATACACCTTTGCAGATTTTTTTATATCTGAAGGTCTTCTTTTCGTCATTTTCGCTTCCACTCCTTTTCTCATAGCGAGATCCAACAAAACTTATTCCATTAGTATTACTCACTTTTGCAAATGTTTAGAATATCCGAATGCCTTCTACTCATTATTTTTGACTCCGATTCCTTTTTAATAGCAAACTCATTTCACCATCTCTGTAGATTTTTAAAATATTCGATAGCAATATCCAATATAAATAATTTCATTGGCACATCATCCTTTACATCATGGGATTCTTTGACAATTTCAAACATTCTTGCTCAAGAGATTCGTTGCTTTTTAATTAAGCTCATACCTATTTATAAGATTTTTCATATGTTGAAATCATTTTGGCAACAATTTCCACTATTGAGGCCTTTATTAGAGGATACCTCATTTTCGTCCCTTCCTATTCCATTTCCATTTCATTTTCAGCGACGTTGACATCGGATAGAAAACTAAATTTCATTTGTTTTAGAATATATACCGTCGAGAATTTATCGATCGACAATCATGTAGCCTATCCTTCACCCGGTGTGCAACATAATTTTACAATACCAGTCATTTCGCTATAAATCGTGCAGAACGAATAGATCTAAATGATTATCAATAGTATTTTATCCAATCAAATGAACCTTTTATCAGTTCTTAACTAACATGCCTGAAAATACTAAAGAACAAATTACTTCATCGCAATCGATTTCCAAGGGTAAAAAGAAAGTATTGGATAATGTTGCCAGTTCTACATCCAATTTTCTTCACACAATTATACCAATGGATGGAAAAAGTGCAACTGCAAATTTATCTACTTTAATGAATAACATTACAACCCAGAAGCCCGGGACTTCCTCAACATTAGCCACTTCGTTTTTACAAGAAGAATGGGTAACGGGACAAATATACGAAGATAAACAACCTAAAAAGTTTGCTACAAGCCAATCGGTTAATCCTGACTTTAACGATGCTAAATGGGAAAATTGGATCAACTCTTCCGAATATTCTGATTATGATAATTTTTTTGAAATGTCTAAACATAAATATCCTTTTCATCATCACTTTCACGAACAGGATTCTCTTCACAATAGTTATCAGAAAGATGATGGTATCGAAATTATCGACTTTTTAAACTCTTCAATTTACACTGACGAAGTATATGTTTCTAACTTTAAAGATGAGGATCACATTCCTTCCAGCTCTTTTAACAAATACGGATCTGAATTGGATGACTTTTTGGAAACACCAGATGTTTTGTCATATTTAGCTCAAATAAGATACACAGATGATGTATATGGATTGCCTGTATTTTTGAAAAAACTAGTTAATGAGGCAAAAGATGAAATTTTCAATGAACAGGAAAAAGAAAATGAAAGTTATCGTAAGATAGCGATAAAACGGTTAGAAATGGTGAGAGAACATTTGATTAAAAAAAAGGAGCAAAGTACAGATAATGAGATGCGCGAATTGTTAGATAATTTGACTCAGAAGACATGGAACGTGTTTGGTGTAATTAAATGAGACAATAAATTGTCTACTTTATTATATTTTACTATCAATTAATAAAACTTTTTAGACAATTATTGAAAATAATAATAATAATATTTTTTATATCTTTTTAAACGCTGTCACCTGAACCATTCAGTCATCATAAAGCTGATAAGCCAGCCTACCGATGCCCCTAAAAAAGCAGACATAAATATATGTCTGTCAATTTCGCTTTGACTAAGTTGAACACTTGCTGATTTTTCAATTTCTCTCATTGGAAGTTTGAGTTCTTTTTGTGTTGTGGATAATTTAGGATCAATGCTATCATCATTTCCAAGTTCAACATCTCCCACAACATAATCAGAAAGTTGATTAAATATCGGCGTTAATGATTGTGTCAATTCATCCACTTTTCCCTCTAGATTTTCAAACCTTTGTTTCATAAATGTATGAACAATTCCGGTTTCAGATTTACTTCCCTCTTCGTTTGTCCTTTGAATAAGTAATTCTTCAAATTTATCAGCCAGCTTTTGTCGTTTTCTTGGTTCAAAAAAAGTTTGCACACCGATGAATGAGATTACATTGAGCATCATTAAAGCAACCGTACCGTATGTAGATGCGCTACGGATCTTATCACTCCAGATCTGTTCTTCATGATATCGTAACATAATTGATCGTGTTAACTCTGTATACCCTTGTTCAACTTTTTGTTCACATTTTTGAAATTCTTCTCTGGCTGCTGATTCAATTTGTTCGTTCGTGTGTTCATTTTTATAAAGCTGTGTAAATCTAATAACGTCATCACCTGACCATTGATGTTTACGTTGAAGCAATTCATTGATTTCACGTTGTATTGCTGATCGCCCTGAAATAATTTCTTCATACGCACGTTTAGCGGTTGCAAGACATTTTCGCGCTGTCTCAAATTCTTTTTCTATTCAACGAATCAAACATAATATATGCAAAATGTATAAAATGTAATTGTTGACAGTTTTATTAATCACAAAAACCATTTTAAATCAAGGGAATAGGTGATTACCCCTCTGAATCACCTCTTCTTTTAAGTTCTCCACTATAGTGTATCCTGTCAATTTATTTAAATTATTAGATGCAGTAGCAAGTACTTGAGTTGTTAGGCGAAGCCTAGGACTGGCGAAAGATGAAACTGGTTTCAACTTTCGCCGAAAAAAAAAAGTCTGTGATACGGCATATTTGCATAACGACTTCATAGAATTTCGAAGTGTGTGAGACATGCAAATTATTCTCAAATTTTTTGATTTTATGTGGCCCGAGACTTATTTGGTGATCTACTTATATGAAAAAAGATTAAATTTCTAAATTTGGTACTTACTTGATTATTGATGTACCTTACAGGTTATCTTGCAGCTTGGAATTTTGGCGGGTTGTAGTTAAAAATAAAAGACGAAGTATATTAAACTTTTTTTTAACTTTGAAACTTATTTAAAACAAATCTAATACACTGTAAACTCTTATGCATAGTTTGAATAAAACAAGAAACAAACACTACCCTTTCATCGGAACTATAGCCTTCAACAACGGTCAATGATATGATATGTATGCACCCTCTGCTGACGATTCAATGTACACAGATTCCTCACCAGCAGAAACTAGTAACAACGAATATGAAAATGGTCAACATGGAATTGGTGCGGTAAGAAGCATTCGGGTTAGTTACGTTTTAATTATTTCCAGATTCAAGAAAAAATTACCATACTTTTTAGTTTAACATTTTTGATTACTATTTAAACTTATTTCATTATACGAAGGATATACTTAATGCTGATAGTCAATCACCTATTAAACGTGAAGAACCTGAAGTAGATGTGACTGGTGAAGAACCTTCTGCGACGGAAGATCAACCATCACCTCTAAAATTTGATGACCAATTTGGAGAAGTTGTTGACGAAGAAAGAGATAAAATACAAAGATTGAATATGCGTCATCCCCATAATAACACTGCTGTTAGAGATTATCTAAATAAAACTGTTGTACCTAGTCTTATGGCAGGACTAAAGAAAATTGTTAGAGAAAGGTAAAATGTATTTTTTTTTTCATAATTGATTTATGTAAATACGTTTTAAGGAATATAATAATTTAAAAAAAATTGGGTTAATTAAAGGCCAACGGATCCATGCGAATTTTTAGGCAGATATTTAATTGATCATTGTCAACATGATCATACTAAAGATGAATATGGATCAGAAATGCGAATAAAACATGAAGATACTGATGATTACGAACGAACAACAACAACTCGCCAGAAACAAAGAAGAGATAGTAATTCAAGTTTGGACGTAGGTTCAGAAATGGATGTTGATGTGATATTGAATCCTTAATCAAATACAGGTTGAATATTATTTTTTTTTGTTGCAATAGGTTTTTAAAGACTCATAAAAAAGAAAACTATAAAAGATCTATTAACATTTAAACTTTTAATCTTTAGTCTTTTGTAAACCCTTTGTGTGATACATAAGTAAAAAGCTTGTAATAATCATTTATTTGATCACAAAAATTGTATCATTCTACAGTCGCAATAAATTTAAATAAAATTGATATTTTTATGTATGAAACCGTTAATTATTTAAAAAAATTTCTGTACATGAATACTTTAATTGTTTAATTAAATAAGAGTTGAGTACATATGCGATCAAAAATTAAGTGAATTTTGTAAATCAAATCTATGCTACTATGCTGGCAAACAAATTAATGGAAATCAATTCTGTTATCTGATAATTATTAAGATATAAACAATTCACTTTGAATATTTAAATTTATGGTGCAGCTGATAATGTATCTGATGTTGTCCAATCAGGTACTTGTCCCATATATTTCTCTCTAGTGATTTCAACAACAGTGGATTTAAGTGATCCAATTAAAGAACCTGAATTATCATAAATTCGGTAAGTAACACATTTATTGTAAGTAAAAGTGTAAGTAACGTTTAAACGTGAATTAATTTGAAATACATTACCACCAACCCATGCTCGACAATTAGCCACAAAAACTTTACCACTTCCATTGTCCTCTAAAAATTCAAAATGATCTGCAAGTCCACTTAAAGGTTTAAACTTTCGATCTTTATTCAAAGCACGAAGGACTTCTTGCGCAAACCTTTGCTGAAAATTGGGAAGTAATGTAGTACCACCAATAAGCAGAATTGAAGAAAAAAGGGGGCGACGTAGATGCATCGGTGTCTAGATATTTATTGATGAATAAATTGCTTGCTCAGTAAAATTTTTATATTATATAATATTACTTGGAAATTATTAAATATTAATACAGACCTTCAACAAACATTCGAGTGCACATCCAACTATACTAGATTCATCCTCATCCCCTTCAAAAAGAACTTCTGCACAACGCTCTCTAATCCAACTAGGTATAATTAAAGTTCCCATTTGTCGTTCTCGGCCATTTTTACTTATAGTAATAGGATATGACACATCTGTTGCGGAACTAACTGAAGAATACTTTTCTTCCATATCTTCAACTAACGTTTTTTCAGCAACTCCAACAGTTGCTTCAACTGTTATTGGACTTACAAAAATAAACCGAGTTTTAATATCTTCAAGTACAGCGGGTGTAAGGTATTTAGCATGAACAGGTACTAAGTTCGTCGAAGGTGGAATAATCATGCTACCATAAGCAGAAATCAATTCCTTGAGCCGTTGTGTTAATGCACGGCCTGCTAAAGGAGTTGTACGAACAAAGGGTGTCAAAGGCCGTGCAGAAAATGTCTATAATCAAATGAATAATTTAATTTTAGATAAAAAATAAAAAATAAATCGAACAAATTTATTACAAACTTACTGGCAACACAGTCGTTTCTAAATGCCCGACATCTATTACTAAACCTGTCGTGCAGCCTGTAGTTAACAAGGCTAACATATGTGACGGAGCGAAAGAAATAGATGGCACCTACAATTTAAAAATAAAATAGTATTAATAGCCATAACTCTAAATAGAATATATTTATTATATGAAAAAATTGCATGCCTGTAAATTTTCAAATAATACTTTTGCAATCAGTTGTTTCAGTTTTAAAGGCATCATCGGTGATTCGCATAATACGACTTTGCGCTGCTTAGGATCAGTTAATAGGTACCTTGAAAGTAATTTTAGGGATTTAAGAGAAAGAGAGCGACATGGTAATAATAAATTATTCGTAGGTTGAGTTTTTTACATACCTGAAATAAATCTCTCTTAAATAATGTGCCAAACGATCATATAAAGCATCTAATTCTTCAGGACACTTTCCGATTTCTAAGTCGTATAATTCAGCAAACTGTATTATGTCAATTGGTCATTCGAAGAAAATCGTTAAAAAAAGAAGTGACAATTTTCTTAAAAACACTTATCATACCTCGCCAATGATTCTACAGCCTTCTCCACAAGCTTTCACGACGCCTCCACTTCCATTAAAAACTGGATCCCAATGAGTTTTCATGTTGCCAGCAAACACAGGAACAATGTGTCTTGGCCTAGATTCACCACTAAAGCCAGCTTTAATATATAAGCTTCCTAGATCTAGCACGATCCTATCTTCACCGGTTCCATAGATTGAATGACGACGTGGGAGAGCCGTAGTCGTCAAAGAACTGCCAGTAGTGAAACTGCTGCTTACCGAGGTAGAAGAATACATGGGGTCTAAATTATTTTTGCTCTCGACTTAAATTTAAATGTCTTCAAAATAATTCAGATTTCGTAGTGTGGACCGGCACCCAAAAAAGTTTCGAACATCACAACCGGGTAAAATCGCCACCCAAAAATCATGTGATATTGTCAATTCATCATGATTAGCTCATGATAATAATATTTAACATAATTGGATTTAGTAAATGATTTTTTTTCTTCGATTCTTTAAAGTGAAAAGCGATTGTAATTGAACCAGAAAAACTTGTAGATTTTATTTTTAATGCTCTTCCGGAAGATTAATCCAGGACGCAGCAACAAAAAAAAATTATTGAAGAAAGCAAATAATAACATGGCTCTATAGTATTAATAAGGTGTAGGCGGGGTGCTTCCATAAAACGTAATGAACTGAATTGAAGAAAAGATTAGGAAAGAATTCATAAATGTATTCACAAATGTAATCACTACAAATAATTTATTAAATAAAAAAAAATAATAAACAAATTAAAATAATCAATGTTTTAAACATGTAATAACATTGTATCGAGAAACTTTTCGAATGTTTCAAAATAAAAAAACAAATTCAGTAAACTTAACATTTTATTTTCTAAATTCATATTTAAGATTTTTTTTTTAAAAAACAGTTACAATTTTTATTACAAACATTGTAATAGACGAGATGGTCGTTGCTGGGAATCGAACCCAGTATATATCCCCGAAAAGACAACGACTTTTTTATGCTTAATATTCGAGAATAAAACTCTTAGAGTAAACTCCGTCATCATATTAAGCCTAAAAAAAACCGTTTTTCTTAAAAAAAAAAGAAATTTAAAACAAACAATATAGTCAGTAAAATTTGTAAATTAATCATTAATGTGTTTTATAAACACATCTCATATTGCCCGTTTTGTTCTACATTTAGTTTGTTTAGATTTTCTTTTTTTAAAAAAAGAAAAACGTAAAAAAAATAAAAAAAAATTAAAAAAAAAAATAAAAATTTAATAAAAACGATATAGTCGGCAAAATTTACAAATTATTAATATCACCGACGTATTTCATAAACAAAACTGTAAAATAATCATTAACACATCTCATATTACTTGCAAACAGTTCCAATCTATATCGCAATTATTAAAAAATGTCAAAAGAAATATATATATATATATATAAAGAAAAAAAGTAAGGAAAAAAAAAATAAATAAATAAAAAATGTAAAAAAAAGAAAACAATGTAAAAGAAAAAAAAAGTAAAAGAAATAAAAAGACGTAAGAAAAACATATAAAAAAGAAAAAGACATAAACATTTACCGGTCAGCATAAACGATCAAATGGAAGACTAAAACTTTGAGTAGAGAACATTTTTTAACCAAACATTAAACGCCTAGACATTATTTTAGTCAAAATAACCAGGACAAACTTAATGTTTAAAACACTAAACGCCTAGACATTATTTTGGTTAAAATAACCAGACAAACTTAATGCTCGCCCAAATGAATTAATCTCCAAATGCTCGTTAGATGCCTAACGGTGCATGTTTATGTTTTAGCGCGCAAAGATTACAAAATTACGTGTGTGTGTTTATATAAAAATCTACCGCATAAATAAAAACATTCATGTGAGAGTGATACAAATCCAGAAAAGGAATATGATATGCAAAAGATTTCAATCATGTGCCAATGATCTAATGATACAGAACTTAATTGTGATTGGCTATCAATTTCACATGATGTCAGTACAAGTAGTGCAGCTGAAAGAACAGACAGACTTCGACATCAAACTGTTTACTCACCATATACAGTATAGCCTCGATATAACGATAACGAAGATTATTTCTAATTTTTATGTTTAAATTAGCCCTGATATAACGAAACTACTAATAAGTTTTGATATAACGAAGCAAAACCTCCAGCTCCAGAGCTTCGTTATATCGAGGTTATACTGTAATTGATAAAATGTTCTGCACAATAAAGATAAGCTAAAAATTTTTGATTTCAGCTCGATACTTCACTATAAAAAAGTATATAAGCAAAAATACCGTTCCTGATGGATCCTCGGTACTGATCTTAATGGAGTTAAAAAACAAATTTATTTGAGTACTGTTCCTGGTAGACGTAAATTTTTTCATATACTTCGCTATAGTAGTATAGTATTTTAGAGGCCCTTTTTTTTAGAATGACCTATTGGGAACAGAACCGACAATCCATCAGGAACGGTATTTTTGCTAATGTAATTAAATTTGTACATAATTTATCTCAACATTTTATATTAAATGTATATACAAAGCACGTCTAACACTAGCACTATTCCGAAGAATCTTTGTGAATTAAGTCATGTTTAATAAATTAAAGTTTTCAAATTTTTTTACAGTTCGCCTATCAAGATCATTTATTGTCACGGCTGAAGCAAATATTTTTAATGAGATTTCAAAACTTATAATTTAAGGTTAGTAGTGATTAAAAGCATAATTGAAAATTGGTGACAGAAAAAAAACCCCCTTTATTTGCATGAAAAACAGTCACAATAATGTATAATATGAAAATTAAAAACGGCTATGATATAAACCTAGTGTTCCTAAAGAGTTGAACTCAAGACACTTTATATCAACCTGAGCAAATTATTTAATTGTAAAGTCATTTATAGATGTCAAAATATAACCCGAGATTACCTGGATTGGGTTCAAACTTGCCCGAATTACCCTTTCGAGGCACTAGATAAATCTTTATATCTTCGCAGATTTACAGGAACATCCAAATGTTTAAGCCAAAGTGATGGTGATGTGGCATATTTTCTTATCATATACCTTACAAACAATAAAAAGACTATTGTCAAAATGAACTTATTTTAATAAATACTTATTGCTTGCCTTTAACGTCAAATTTAACAAATTTTGAACTGGTGAGTGATTTTATCAATTTTGTTGACGGAAGTACATGTTCTAAAATATATACTATGAATATATGAGTGCCATCAAGAGAAAGCCAGACTTTGGCTTTTAAATTATAATTTACTGAACCTACAAGTAAGTTACGGACATGTTCATTTCAGATAATTTATTTCACCGACATTTTATTCATCGACAAAGTAAGTCTGGCCATTGTCATTAGGGTCAGGTCTATAATTAGAGCTGTGAACTAAGTTGTTGGTAAAGTGATTTTTTGTGAAATCCGAATTTATACATAATTAGATTTAATAAATTGCTAAATTTTCCTTTGACAGTGCTCATATGGTACTTACCGAATAACACCTTTATCATAAATTCTGATTGTGAGTCAAAAGTTCCATTTGATAATTGCTCTATGCTCTGAGCCAACCAAATTCATATACTTGTTTATAATTTAATATCTTTGTGTGAATGTTTGATTTCCCACAATCCACAATTCGTCAAGTTCACTTTCATAAGTGCGTAAGAAAGATGGAATAATAATATAATACATAATGTACTGTACAAATTATACAATACATAATGTATTCAATTAATTTCAACCCCAATCTCACATACTAAGTCCTAGTCCCATACAGACATAGGCATCGTAATGCATCCAAATAGCATTCGAAGAACCAGCAAACGGTTGATTTCTCTTACGCACATGTAGACATTGTGATAAGTTCATGAATCTTGACAGGTATTCAGAGTACTAGTAAACAGTTGATTTCTCCTAGTCTGAACAATTATACCATACTACAAGAGAATCAGCACATCTTCATTGGCTCCACAATTAAAATGTGTTTAGTTTACTTGCCATTTTGTATTTACTAGAAGTTTCGCGGATTCTACACTTCATTTTGTCTTTGTAATTGTTAACAAGAGAACGTAAACTTTTTTGTGAAAACATCATTTGCTATTTGATAGTTTAACTTTCTTATATGAATGACGTAAAAGGAAAACTGACTTCAGATTTTCAAGTTAATTATTTACCGGATTCAGCCCTGATGGCGACACATATGACACGTAATCGATTTTACATACGCATCATATATGCTTCTGATCAGGGCTGAGTCTGGTCCAGTAAATAACAAATAATAAACCTGAAAGCATGAAACTCCAATTATCATTTTGTGAAAAGTTAAACGAGAAAGTCTATAATCGAGTTTGGGAACTCATACAGGGGGATCCCCAAAATTCCGGGTCGAAACCATCGGATTTAGCCCGGCATTTAGTTAGTATTAGTAATATAAGTTAACCATTTCTGGGCAAAAATTATCAGCTGGGAAGCTTTACTTAATGAGTGAGTTATGGTTTCATTAGTAAAACTTTTAGTGATCTTGGGCAAAATTAGTTAATTCCGACCCGGAATTTTGGAGATCCCCCTGTATGAGTAGAGTTTAGGGGCCTGCAAATGGATTTACTTATTTGTGCCGGTAATACAATCCAAAAAAGGAAATTTGATTTTATAAATAAACAAAGTGCGTAAA